TTCGTACTAAAAATAGTATAAAATTTAAAACTCAATGTGGACTATTTTTGTGGGACAGGGGAGTATATTATTATGTCAAAAGAAGACACAAGAATTAATCATGTAATAATATGTCAATTAGTTCTAAAAAACTATACTCCTTAAAAAAAAAAAAAAAGTCCTGCTCTCTTTTTCTTTTCTTTTTTTTTTTTTGGGGTGGCGGGGGGGGAAGGAATTGAAAAGGATACATAAGTGAAAATACTTATATGGCGAGCAATTACAAGATCCCTAAAATTAAAAGAATTCCAAATGTGATTTTAGTTTCCATTTTTTAGTGTCACATTCATTCAACTTAACAAGGGAAAACTTGTGTTACAAACAAAAGAAAATTCATATACAGTGGAACTGAATACCATGGAATGATTTTGACAATAAATTATCCTTTCCCCCAATCTTCTTCGATCATTCATGGATTGTGATTATACAATTTGTTAACTCATTCTTCTCCCAATCTTCGTCCCGTCATCACTCCCTTCTCGAATTTCACTATTTAAGATGAAATGGACAGTATACAACTTTGAATAATCATTGCTTACAGCTTCTAACACAGAACTCCCTCCCTCAATAAACTCTAACCCATTATACTATTCACTCTATCCCAAAATTACTGTCCGGTTTGAAATTTCATTTTGAATACAATTTAAACTGAAAATAAAAATCCAAACTCGACAATAATAATTATGAGACAGGGGAAGTATTAGTTTTTGTACATCTAAAGTATCGAAAAATGTATGATTAAAAAAAAATTCTTTCAAGCTCGTGATCGTGCACCTTAATCTCAAATGATAATCCTACAAAGAAAAAATCGCTAATTTAAATTAAGACTAAAATGTCCAAATGGTCCCTTACATTTGGGCATACTTGAATTTACGTTCCTAACATTAACATTTCAATATCGTGGTCCCAAATATTATGTTTTTACACTTTTTTGGTCCCGTTTCAGTGTTTTCGGCCGTTGACATGCCGGAATCAGAGGTATTTTTGTCTTTTAATTTAATTTAAATTTTTATTAAAATTTAAATTATTAAAATATTTTAAAACTCAAATTTTATTATTTAATTGTTAAAATATTATTTATTAATTAAAAATATTATTATACAATTTTAAAATTTATCATTATTTTCAAAATTACTTTTTTCATTTACTATTTACTTTAAGTATACAGTAAATAATAATTATGTTACACTTTTAACTATGGGCCTGCTTTAACTTAAAAAATTTACTAAGTTATAGTAAATAATTTAAAATTTAATTTTTTTTAAAAAAAAAGAAAAAGCAAAACTAAGATTTTTTTTACTCTAACCGCTACAGTAAACCCTAATGGTAATCATGTTACACTTTTAACCTTAGGCCCACTGTAACTTAAAAATTACCGAATTACAGTAAATAATTAAAAAATTCAATTTATTTTAAGAGTGAACCTAAAAACAAGTCATCAACCTTTAATATATTTCCACTTTAGGTCATCAAATAAATTTATTTGTAACACAGGTTATCTTACTAAAGTTTTAATCCATTTCAGATTATTCTGTTAATTTTGACCGTTAAATAGTGACGGAAATCCATTTTTCACATGTTTTTGGGTTCAGGGGTAATTTTGTCATTTTTTATTTTTAATCTTTTAATTTTCTTAATTTTATTTTTTACAATTCTTCTTCTTATACTTCCTAACTTGTACACGCTGGTAGTATAATTCTAAACTTAAAAAATTTATTTTAACTTCTAGATTATAAAATTTTTTTAAAAAAAATTAAGAAATGAAGAAGAAAAATTCGAGTTAAAGTAAACATGAAAATTAATAATTTATCGTTTTAAACAAAAAGAAAAACTAAAAGAATTAGCTAAGACAAATTGTTTCTTCTAAGTTATTTAATTTTTTTCAACTCGATTGCATTATTTAATTATTAATTTTCACGTTTCTTATTCCTTTTTTTTATAATCTAGAAGTTAAGATACAAATGACAAACAAATTCATTTTTGAAAATTAATTTTTCATTTGTATATTAACTTGTAGATTATTAAAAAAAAGGAATAAGAAACGTGAAAATTAATAATTAAATAATTCAATCGAGTTGAAAAAAATTAAATAACCTAGAAGAAATAAGTTGTCTTAGCTAATTATTTTAATTTTTCTTTTTTTTAAATGAAAAATTATTAATTTTCATATTTACTTTAACTCGAATTTTTCTTCTTCATTTCTTAAATTTTTTTAAAAAAATTTTATAATCTAGACGTTAAAATACAAAAGGAAAATAAATTTTTAAAATTTAGAATTATACTACCAGTATATACAAGTTAGGAAGTATAAGAAGAAGAATTATAAAAAAAAAATTAAAAGATTAAAAAATAAAAAAATAAAAAAATGACAAAAATACTCCTGAACCAAAAACATGTGAAAAATGGATTTCCGTCACTATTTAACGGCCAAAATTAACAGAATAATCTGAAATAGATTAAAACTTTAGTAAGGTAACCCGTGTTACAAATAAATTTAATTGATGACCTAGAGTGAAAACATATTAAAGGTTGATGACTTGTTTTGAGGTTCGCTCTTATTTTAAAAAAAGAAAAAGCAAAACCAAGATTTTTTTTACTTTGACCGCTACAGTATACCTTAAATGGTAATTATAATACACTTTTAACCTTGGACTCACTGCGACTTAAAAAATTTACCGAGTTACAGTAAATAATTCAAAATTTAATTTTTTTTAAAAAAAAAAAGCAAAACCAAGATTTTTTTTTACTCTAACCGCTATAGTAAACTCTAAATGGTAATTATGCTACACTTTTAACCTTGGACCCACTGTAACTTAAAAAATTTACCGAGTTACAGTAATAATTCAAAATTCAATTTTTTTTCCAAAAATAAAAAAAGAAAACCAAGATTTTTTTTAATCTGACCACTACGTTGCTTTTTTAACCTTGGACCCACTATAACTTAAAAAATTTACCGAGTTACAGTAAATAATTTAAAAGTCAGTAAACCCTTACGTTGCACTTTTAACCTTGGACCCAATATAACTTAAAAAATTTGCCGAGTTACAGTAAATAATTCAAAATTCAACTGTAGCGGTCAAAGTAAAAAAAAAACTTGGTTTTTCTTTTATCTTTTTTTTTAAAAAAAATTAAATTTTGAATTATTTACTGTAACTCGGTAAATTTTTTAAGTTATAGTAGGTCCAAGGTTAAAAGTGCAATATAATTACTATTTAGGGTTTACTGTAGCGATTGGAGTAAAAAAATAGTTTTGCTTTTTCTTTCTTTAAAAAGAAATTGAATTTTAAATTATTTACTGTAACTCGATAAATTTTTTAAATTACAGTGGGCTCAAAGTAAAAAGTACAACATAATTACTATTTACTTTGACCTAAGGTAAATGATAAATGAAAAAATTAATTTTGAAAATAATGTAAATTTTAAAATTTTATAATAATATTTTTAATTAATAAATAATATTTTAATAATTAAATATTGAAATGAATTTTAAAATATTTTTAATGATTTAAATTTTAATGAAATTCAAAAAAATTAAAAGACAAAAATACCCCTGATTCTAGCATGTCAACAGCATGAAACAGTGAAATGGGACCGAAAAAGTTTGAAATCATAATATTTGAGACTACGATATTGAAATGTTAATGTTAGGGACGTAAATTCAAGTAGGTCCAAATGTAAGGGACCATTTGGACATTTTAGTCTTCAATTAAACAACAATGTAAATTTGTGTTAATACCTATCACTTCCATTATCATTCACATTCCGAAATCTCCCGACAGAACAGTACTGGGTATAAAAACGTCCAAACTGAAACGACCTTGGACGGCTTTAACACGAAACACCTAACAAACAGGGAATCAGAATGGTCTTCTTTCTGGTTAAGATTATCAAAGAAGTACTAAGTACAATAATCATCATCATCATTAAAATAACCAAATGATCTGCCACGATTTAGCAGGAACTCTCATCATGTCGACACGTGTCACCGACTTTTGAGCAGTGGGCAACATGAACACGTGGCCTGTGCATGGGGACAGGCACCCGAGCACGCAGGCATCTGGCAGACATTGTCATCAATCAAGGTGCAACTTATTGTTAAATTAATTGATTAATGTAAATAGCAACTTTAGTGTTGGACTTGATTGATACTCCTAATAATACTCAAATTCTTTTTAACTTTTGTGTTGAGAATGGACTATGTCAATAAAATCATATGGTGTTTCACAAATTTAGCGAAATTGTTGGAAATCATACATAAATTGTCAAATATGTGTAAGAGGTAAGAATCCCCCGACTCCAAAACACCATGGAAATGAAAATATGTTAAATATGTTATTGTTTGATCAAACTAGAACGTTGAAATTAAAAATTAATCATCAAATTATAACTGTATCGGAATAAAATACAGTTAAAGTATGATATTTTATGTCAAAAATATACTAAAAATAAAAATCTAAGTCAGATAATCGTTTTGGGTATTTCAGTAAACTAAATTTACAATTTTTCATATCTATCCTGTGACTCTTCTTCCTATTCCAAAATTAAGTAGGCAGGATAAAGAGAACATTTTATTTTTACCCTTCTATCTAAAATTTCAAAATGAGATTCACCATTACTTTCTTCTTTCTTTTTTTTTTTTTCTTTTTTCCTATGGTTAACATTCACCATTACTCAACGTCCTTATTTCATTTTGTAAATCACGTTATTTGGATACAAAGGTTTTTCCCCAATAAAGGTGAAAGGGACTGTTTTGCTTTTTCTTTTTTTTTTGGGTTTATTTTATTTTGTTTTTTGAAAAAGAAACCAAATAGTATAATAATAATAGTAATAATACTTAGTAGTACTAATACAAAAATTATTATGAGACAAAAAAAGAAATGAATATGTGAGACAATGACTGATCTGGCCGGTGCTAAACTTAATTACACCCGACTAAGTTCAGTATCTGATCCCTTTTTTCTTGCGCCTAATATCTCTCCCCACGTGTCCCCTCCAAATGTCGCACTATAAATCCAACCTAAAATCACCGGTAAATCCACTTCCAATACTAATAAAACTGCAGTCTTTATCGTTATCATCGTTCCTTTCTTCAACCAAATCAAAAAAAATCCATCCATAACCGCTTTCTCATTCAATCTACCGTTTCGCTTCCCTTATTAGCCAAACCCACTTCTTGCTTTAATTCATACGTTAAAATCCCACGTTTGGAAATCGTAGAAAAGAAATCGCCGGCGACATGGGTCGAGTCTGGACTTTCCTCACTTACGTTCATTCTGCCGCTGGGTAAAGTCATAGAATCTTTTCTGGATGCGATTCAATCAAGTTTTATTACTCGAATTTCTCCTCAATTTTGTTGTTTTTAACGTTCATTTCACTTTCAATTTTGCAGGCCGACTACGATGTTACTCTATCCTCTGTAAGTGAAACAGAACCCACCAATTCATTTCTGATCACCAAAATTAAAGATTGATTCCGTGACTAAAACGTAGATTTCGTTCTGCTTAATTGAAGGTATGCTTCGGTGATAGCAATCGAGAGCCCATCAAAGCTAGACGACGAGCAATGGCTTGCCTATTGGATTCTGTATTCATTTCTTACTCTGGTTGAGATTCTGTTTCAACCCATCTTGGAATGGTACTATGTTTGTTTATTGATTTCGATTCTGTTTTTAACCCATATATTTTAAGAATAAAGTTGTGATCTTGACTCTGTTTTTTCCCCCCTTTGGTGTTTTTGGTTTCTAGGATTCCGATTTGGTATGATGTGAAGCTTGCATTTATACTATGGTTAGTTCTGCCACAATTCCGAGGGGCAGCTTTCATCTATGAGAAATTCGTGAGGGACAAGATCATCAAGAGATACGGTGTTATTTCTCAACATGTTCAGAGCGTTAGCAATAGTAGCAAGAAGTCTTCTTCTCCGGACAGCAAAAGCAAAAGCAAAAACAAGTTTGTCGATTTCATTAGTCCTAAAAAGGTGTGTTAAGAGAAGTTTTTTTTTTGGGGGGTTAATTTCTGTCTACTTTTTTTTCAGTAATCTAATTGATTTGGGAATTGATTGATTGTTTGAACAGAGTGAACGTGAAGCTTACTGAGCATCAACAAGAAGAGTGGGAAGAATAGGAGACCTTTTTTTTTAATTTTTAATTTATCTCTTGCCGGCCTTTTGTTGTATTTGTAACACTTTCGGTCCGTTTGATGTTTGTTTCTTTCAGTGTTGTATAAATTACTTGGCATTGTAGCTTTTGATGTACTCAAAAACTCTTTTTAGTATATGAAATAGTGCTCATTAATAATAAAAGAAAAATTCAAAGATCTTTAACGCCCCCTGGATTACAGGTGGGCATGTATTCTTTTATAAAGTTGTATTCCTCTCTCTTTTGTTGGTTTTAAAGCAAAAGATTTCGGATGGACATTTGAGTATTAAACCGTATACTGATGTCCAAACTTCATTAACACAATCAATGGAACTAAATCATTCAAGAGCATGATCAGTTCTTTTTTTTCCCCTGATTCAACTCGATGTTGGTAGTGTTTAGGAGAATCCAACGGCCCTAGACATCAACAGTGTCTATATATGTGGCTTAAGACACTGTTGATACTGTTGTTTACGCCGCTCCGGTCATCCGGACAAGTTGAGAAGGAAATAAGTGTGGGGATTTTGGTTGTATGATCATTGGCGACTTCAATCGGGTTATTAAGGCATGTGATAAACTTGGTGGTAATAAGATTGATGAGCAACGAGCTGCTGATCTCAAGTCTTTGATTCTCGATTTTGGTCTTGCTGAATTGAGCTCATTTGGAAACTGGTATGTACTTGGTCAAATAACAGATCAGGGAATCAAAGGATTATGGAAAGAAGACTCGACAGGGTTTTTGATAATGACCCCTGGTTGCACGTTGTGCGACTGTTCGGACTCCTCCAGTTTTTAGGACAATTATTGATAATACGAATAGCGGGAAATTAATCAGGCTTCTATCCAGTTCAACTGCTCTCATTGTCTTCTTGTCTAACCAAACCAGACAATTATTTCGGGTACAAAGAGACAATTATTTCGGGTACAAAGAGAGGAAAAATTATTGGGTACAGCTGTTGTATTTTGGTTTTTAGCGCAAGTATTAGCACTTTCTATTCTGGTGATATGGATTCCGTAGAAATTAGTCTCTCTTCTCCTAAAATTATTACTTTACCTCTATTATTGTGTCTATCTTACTTGATACAGCAATTGCACTGAATGATTTCTCCCAAAAAAGTATCTAATTGTTTATTTAACTATAATTTTATAGACTAGTAATCCTTAAGAATTTTTTTTTTTGGTCTTTTTCTTAACATATACTTTTCTGTCCTATAAAAATAATCTATACATACTCTGTTCTAAAGAAAATAATTTATATATACTGCTGAAGTTTGTACTACCTTTGTACCAAAGAAAAGAAAGTGCACTGTCATATAAATCAGAAAATTCGATGTGTAGTATTTCTTTCGGATAAAAGAAGTTAGAATGCAAAATAAACTTATTAGAAGGCACAACGTATTGGATACACTAATACTACCATTTCACTTCTTGTTATAGAAGAACTTTTACCAATTTCACTCCCACAGTTTTAAAATAATTATCTAAATTGAAAATTATACTTTTAATACAAATTTTATTAAAAATGAAAAGTTCAAATTAAACTATAAATAGGATCGTCATAGGTCTACCTTATCCAATTCCAAGCCTGATATGAACTAGTTCTCAATTCCGCAGCAAAATGAGAAGATATATTATACAAATGGAGATGAAGATATATATCTGGAGAAGATGATTCAAAATGTCATCCCCCCCACCGCTTTCTTCAAACATACGTGGCATATTTATTCCATGCAGACTGTGCCATTTGCTGCCACCAATTTCCCTTCATGCAGGCATCTCTTTATATATATTTACCCCCAAAAGTGAGCAAATAATTTGTGATTTCATCTGTTTTTCATTCTTCTACTTCTTCCGTTGGATAGTATTGGAAGTGCTCAAAAAAATATGATGAACATATTTAACACGGTTCTGAACTGGGTAGCTCCTCCTTTCACATTCTTCAGCTTATTATTCATCTTGCCACCTCTTCAATTCATCAAGTACCTAGTTGCCGCAATTAACACAGTTTTCAGTGAAGATGTTTCCGGCAAAGTTGTCGTCATCACCGGAGCCTCTTCCGGCATCGGAGAGGTATGATTGATTGATTACTTATGCTACGATGATCAATTGATTAATTAAATTCCAAATAATTATGTTGTTGGTTTTCTGTGTTCTTATTTTGGTAGCATATGGCCTACGAGTATGCAAGAAGAGGGGCATGCTTAGTTTTAGCAGCAAGGAGAGAAAAAAGTCTGAGAGAAGTGGCAGACAGGGCACTGGAGTTAGGATCCCCTGATGTGGTTGTTGTTCGAGCCGATGTTTCCAACGTTGATGATTGCAGAAGGGTTATTGATCAAACCATGAACCATTTTGGCCGATGTATTAATAATTCTTAATAAAATCAAGCTCCTTCTCAGAGTTTATTACATTTCTTTGTATTTTTTTAGTTTCTCTCCCCTGTTTTCCTCTGTAAATACTCAAATGGGTTTTCATTCATTTGTGCAGTGGATCATCTAGTAAACAATGCTGGATTAGCTGGAGTCTGTTTGCTGGAAGACGTGGAGGATATTACTGGTTTTAGAAGCATTATGGTAAGTTGTTTTCAGATTCAAAATGAAATGATTCAAACAGGACAATCATTATGATTGAGACCAATTATTTTTAGTATTAGGATCAGTTGGGCTGAAAGGTGATGCAAAACTAATTTTAATGTTTTTGGCAGGACATCAATTTCTGGGGATCGGTTTATATGACCAGATTTGCGCTTCCATATCTTAGAAACAGTGGAGGCAGAGTAGTCGTCCTGTCTTCAGCTGCTTCATGGATGCCGGCTCCAAGGATGCATGTTTACAATGTAGAAATTTCCATTGCTTTCTCCATTTCCGAATCATTGGGATTCTCTCTGAAATTCAAGTGTTCTCTTTGTTTAGGCAAGCAAAGCTGCGCTGGTGCAGTTCTTTGATACATTGAGAGTGGAATTCGGACCTGATATTGGCGTGACAATTGCTACTCCTGGTTGGATCGAATCAGAAATGACCCAAGGCAAATTTGTTGGAAAACATGGAGAATTGGAACTAGACCCTGAAATGAGGGATGTGAGTAATCCGAACTTGAATTTTCATTTTTTCATTTTATTCAGATTGTATGTAACATTTTTGTTTTCCATGGAAAACAGGTTCAAATCAGTTTAATGCCGGTTGAACGGGTGGACGAGTGCGCAAAAGCCATCGTCCGGGGAGCTTGCCGGGGGCATAGATACATAACCGAGCCACAATGGTTCAAATATACCTACTTCTGGAAGGTGTTTGCCCCAGAACTTATGGAGTACTTGTACCGCATTATGTTCGTGACGAGTTTTGGCCCGTCTTCCACCGATACGTTGGGGAAGAAACTGGTGGATTACAGTGGTGGCGACCGGATCCTTTACCCGGAGTCTGTCAGAGCTCCTCTGCCCAAGACCGAGTAGTTCTGTATATATATACCTGAGGAAGTGCTGTGTGATGAAATGGGATTAAGCTGCGACGTTGACTGTACTGTTGATTTTCCTTTTCTTTGTTAGGTTGTCCTTTTACGTTTTTAGACTCGGTACAAATAAAATCAGATAGGATATTATGTGAATGCTGTATTTATCAGTGAGAAGGTGTTTCTCAATTAATGGAGAGGATTATCCTGTTTCTGTTTGCAAGTCGTCAGAAAGCCAAACTTCTTTCAAATGTAAGCTACAAATGGAGTTCTTCCAGAAGAACCAGAAACACAAATTCACAAATTTGACTGAGACGGCAATCACAGATATGGTATCTATCGCAATCAACCTTCCTTAATATAAAGATTGTACACCAACAGAATTATGTAATGCGTGTTGCTAGGGAAAAGAAAAAAAAGCAAAAATAGAGGTTGAGATTGCCCTCCGAAAAAAATGTGTATTCAGTGCTTTGAGGATGCAAAAGGTTTCTTCAATGTGCATTTCCACAAACACAGAGAAGCAAGATGGAAAAATCATCCTTCATATCCAAAATGGAAGTGCATGTTAACATGAAACTGTCCGTTTCCAAGTTCCGCAATAACGATACATGCTTCCTTACTGCCATTTCCGGCCATTGTGTATATACAGAGCAAAGGGAGAGGGTGTCAAGACCAGCCAATTTTCACTAGAATAATATGGAACAAAAGAAAATACTGGGAGAGCAAACTAGATCTTCATTAACAAAACATTCTTAGATCATTAGCAAAACCACATTTCCAGCAAAGCTCAGCAAAACCACTGGGATAACTATCATAAGCAGTATCTATTGCTGCCAACTTGAGCTCCCAAAGACATCCACTTTCTTCCTCCATTTGCAGCTTTTGCTATGGCAATCCCAAGTCCCAACCCACTTGGATCTTTTAGCAGTCTTCATCATCTATGAATTATTAAGTTACAGCCCGCTTGGAGCTCCCAAGGGAAATTGCTTTCTTCCTACATTGCAGCTTTCGCTGCAGCAATCCCAACGTGGCAGCATCCTGCATAATATTTAAACTGGCACGAAAAGAACTATTTTACTACCAACAAAGCAAATCTTCCCCCCAGCTTCCAGTAGGCCTCATAACTGATGAAGAAAATGTACAGCAAGGAAGCTAGTCCGCGCACAAACTTCAATCTTGTCAGCAAACTGAATAAGTGTCATAGGATCCACTGCCGAAAGAAAAAGTATAATATTTCCTAAAGCTGCCTGAATGTTTTCACCCAAGGAAAACCCCATTTGATCATAAGAACCACAGCTTCAAACCTACCTCTAGTCAAAGCATTGATGCCGAAGCATCTGCAATAAAGCTCTTAGAGAAAGGTTTCTCTACCCTCCCTTTACTTGGTGAGAACACATCCTCAGAAGACGCAACAATTGCATGCTTATTCGCTCATCTTCATTAGATGAAACCAAACCTATTCGGATAACTATAATCAGGGTAACGACTAGGCAAAGATGGTTGATATACTATATTCCTAATAAGTAGCAATATTTATTATGCAAAAGCACAGGAACTCACAAGCTGACCTGGGACCTGAGGAAGAAGAGTTGACTATCCTACTGGAAAGGAAGAAGGAAATGGAAAAGAGGTACCCAAAGGATAGAACTAAGCAAAAGAAAAACAGACTAGCCATTCATTACTTCACATATCCCTGTTACCGGTTTCTTCATCATGCCTTTATAGGAGCTTCTGCAATGTCTGCAATCTCCTTTTTGCTCTTCACCAAACGACGCTTCTTGGCATCAAAATCCAGCTTACCAAGATCCTCAGAAATCCCCCAATAACCATATAGAATATTATCCAGCTTGTTATCTAGGGTAGATTCTGCTTCAATTACATTTTCCGGGTTACTTGAGGATTTGAACTCGAGAAACTCAACCCTCCCATGTTTGCTTTCAGCAAAAACCTTATGAAGCCTCTCAGCCTCCCGCAATCCAGAAAGCGTACCAGCAAACTCAACCACCATAACACTTTGATTTGCAGGTTTACCTCTGTACACCTTCGCCTTATCCCCAAAACCCATATCTCTAAGCTTACCCTCAAGCTCTTCTACAGTTACAACGACCTGCTGATCTGGGCTTCTACTACCAATGGTACTGTTATGGATGATCACAACTGGAGGCCACAAAATAAGGTCTTCCTTTAATGCCTTATTTTCCACGTCAGAAAGCTTTTCACATGACCAAGCACTATCTGAAAATTCTCCGAACTTCCATCCCATAAGAGCACAAAGTGCCTTATGAAAACCTAAGTGCTGAGACCTGAGGCCAAGCTTTTGGCACGTCATTGCATGTGTTGCCAAACTCTCTGTGCTGACAAACTCTTCTTGGCTTTGACATATGATGCACTTCAAATTACCACCAGTTCCCTGCTTTGTATATTTTCTTCTTTTGGCTGGAGTCTCATTCAGTTGTTTGACAAACTTGAAAAATGCAATTTTTACCAGCTGCTTAAAATCCTCGGAGTTTTCAGGGGGTTCAGCCTTAACGGGAGTGTCATTGTTTTCAACAGAATCTTCTTGAGGGCTTCCACCTGTGTCTTCCTCAATCCTCGTTAAATTGGGAGCATTTAGATTCTTAAGCCATGGAAGAGTATGGTGGTTCTTCGCAGCAGGTCCTAACCGCTTCTTCAAGGAGCGCGTGGACCTTTTCACAAGCCGTTGTGAAACATGAAGTTTTTGAGAAACTGGACCCAGTCTATTTTTAATATCTCTAGCACCAGATATACCGGATCTTCTGAAACGACTAGAAGAAGTAATTGAGATTGTTCCAGACACTGATGAGTTTCTAACTCTTAATCTCCCAGAGTGTATGCTAGAATTCCCATTGCTACTCCAAACTTCATCTGCATCACCCGGAACATAATTCATGCCCCTTAGATCATCAAATTCGCTTCCTGCATGCTTTCTCTTCAAGAGGCTACTAGCTTTAGAAAAACTGGCATTCCGCATAAACTCATCATTAGAGTTACCATCAGCATCTTCTAAATGTGGATCATATTCTCTGGATGTTAATATATCTGATTGGCCATGATGATATCTAGGACTCAAAGCAACTTCATCAACATGATTAGGCTCCTCTATACGGGAGCTTCCAGGGCCACGATACGATTCCCTTCCATACTTAGGTTGCTCAAGATCTTTGCACTGTTGATCCTCCATGTCATTCCTTGTACTAAAGGGTGGATATGTATCATCAGGGCCAGAGATGGATAATCCATGTGAGGTAGGATGGTGGTCTAACAATCGACTTCCTCTTGAATATCCCTCATGGGAGGATACATCGGGTTTGTTCCCAACAGGATCCACCCCAACCAACCTTGAGTTATTTTGAAGGCTGGACTCTTCTTCAAGCAGACTCTTTCTGTAGATCTCAGTAAACATTGAACCTCTACCAGCTACCCTGTTGTCACCTTCAGGGTAGTTATAATCCTTATGATTCTCTTCAGCATTACCCAGATATGACTGCGAATAACTCTTAAAATCTCCATATCTTGCCTCATGATTCATAGGAGACCTAGTTCCTAAGTTTTCATCAATAGCTTCATAAGATGTGGGATTGGTCAGCATCCCGGTGCGCAGTCTATTGCTATCAGAAGGGACACTATGATCATCCCTAATTGAACTTGAGAAGTTCTCCTTAAAACTGCCACGGGCCACAGGATCGAAACCTTTTAGCCGAGAAGATGATATTGTGTAATCAATACCAGTGCTTGAGTAGGGCAACTTATCTTTATATGATTCAGTGGCTAACGAATCTCTCCTTACTAGTCCAGGAGTAGCTAACTTTCCAACATTGAGCTCATTATGAAAATCACGGGCGTCATCTTTCTCAAGGTGACCTGATGAATATCGCGATGCACTTTCAGTTGCATCAACATGGCAAGAGGTCCTGGTTGGAAAACTAGTATTAATTGGATAAGATGAAGAAGCATAATTCCTCTCCCTCCCAGAATCTCTCGTCATCAGATTGCCATCACAACTCTTGTCAAAGAACTTACCATTATGGTAATCATAATTCAGATCACTCCCTAGTCTACTGCTGCCAACCCCATGATGGAATGAACTATTAAGACCGTTCTTGGTTTCATCTAAAAGCTGATCAGATTGAAACTTGGATGAAGCCCTCTCAATCGCACCATACATTCTCCAAGAGAATTCCCCATTGCCACCTGACTGATACATCCTCTGCGACTGCCCATCATCCAAATCTCGTTCTCGATTACCATAGTGTCTAGCTCTAACAACCGAACCATTACTTGATATTCTATCCCCTCCACGACTATAATTCCCATCCATATTTCTTCGACTACTAAAATTCTGATCATAACCCCGGTCATTGCCTCTATCTCCACTGAAACTCCTATTGTAAGCCCGAACGTTGCCTCTATCTCCACTATCTCCACCACCAAAAGTCCTATCAAGTTCTCGATCATGTGTTCTGTCTCCCATGTTGAAGTTCCCATCATACCCCCTGCTATTCGCCTTATCCCCATAACTGGAACTTCTGTAATCATGATCACTAAACCGACGATCACCACGCCTAATATTATTATCCCTACTCCAATGATCTCCGCGCCTACTATCATAATCCCTCCTCAATGAACCACCTTCGCCTCCCCTTCTCTCTTCCTCCACATCACCATGATAACGTTTCCTCGGTGATCTTGGCGGAGAGTGTCCTCCACGGTCCCTGACCCTTCCTGAAGGTGGAAGTGGTCTCCTTGGCGAAGTTGGTGAACGGAAACTGCTATTGCCCCAATGCCTCCTATTAACAGCTCCATAATCCCTGCTATCTCCATATCTCTGATCCCTCATCATTTTTCGTTCCCTGTCTTCTAAATCCAACATCCAAATTCTCAAAACATCATTAACCACGGAATGTGCCAACTATTATTAGGGATATATAGTCTAGGAATTCTCCCAGGTAGCTATGCCTGTAAAATAATAATTGAAAATAAAAATTATGATGACCTGCATTATAAAGCTGATGAAAATGTCTCTGGTTTTGCAAAAAGATTTAAGAAAATGTGGAAATTTTTGAAGACCGTAAGAGTATAGTGTTTATTAGCATTCATGAAAATTCAGCATATTTCAACTCTAGTCAATACGAACTATATAAAAGACAGATTGAAGAAGACAAGTGAAAATCCTCTTTGCTCACGAGCATGTCAAATTTTACAAAAATCTGATTGCTCATGAAATCAAGGATGTAAATCACCGTCAAAACTCAAGCACTAAAATCATTTTCAACCATCAAGTAAAGTTAAAACAACATTCACGAAAGTAAAACAAAAACAAAAACACAAACCCCAGAATAATTCCGAAATTTGACGATATGCAAAGTGCTGAAAATAAATCCTCCAAACTTCAATCTTCGGAAGCATATTTGAATTCTTACTTGTTAAGGCAGAAAACAAAAGTTCCAGATTCAACACACAAGTTACGTACCAAAGAAGATAGTGGCTTTTCACCCCAAACGAAACCCTATAATTTTGGATCTTCAAACAAATCCGGACGTTTCCATCATTCTCCTCTATCCCGATCCCGAAAGTTAAAAACCCCCTTCTTCTTTTTTTTGGCGGTTCTTTACAATTTCGGTTCTGATCCGTACTCTGTTCGAACCACCGCCTGCGCTGGTTCCGGCGGTGCTGGCTTATTGACGGCTGAAAGAAAAAGTAACGTAGGGGAAGAGGACGGCGATTTCCGGCGGGTTTTCGACTGAAAATTTGGTATTAGAAAGTTTGGTCAATGAACCTTATGAGCTTATTCCTCGGATGGGCCACAAAAATAGCGTCAAAATTTGGCAATTAACTCGACCGAAATTGGAAGGAGATTTAGGTCAACCATTTTAATATTGGATTGGGCTTGCTACCAACTAGTTCATTCTTTTTATTTTTTTTTTCTTCCATCATCGTGCTTACAAGTTACTCCTTCCGCTCCTTATTATAAGACATTTTGATTTATTCTAAATTTTACCTAAAATATCTTTTTAATTGAAGTAAAAACCTTAAAACCTTTCATAATAATTTGAAAATCACAGCAAATGTGAAAATATAGTTTTAAGACTTATTTATCCATTGAAAAGGCATCCTAGGTTAAACCTAAGACAAAATCAAAATACCTTATAATAAGGACGGGAAGGAGTACAACTCAACGAAAACATATTATATTACTTGGAAGAATTCTAATAATCCAAAAAAAAAGTTAATAATTTATTGTGTGAAAAGTATTTTCACTACGATTTGTTTGTTAATTGTGTATTAGTTGATTTAAATATAATAAAAATTGAAATTTAATTGATAATATTAATTTCTTCTCTTTTACTCTCCGTTGTCGTGTAACTTACTAATCGATTATAGCTCGTGAAAATTCTAACTGCTGAATATACATTGAATCATTCTCACATATAATTCAAATCATTGGGTGATACATTGCCAATTGCCATTGGGTTACCAGACTCTATCTTAAAACACTCGCAATACTGGTGGGAAGAATTAATTTTTTTAGAAAAAAAAAAACAAGTTTCGAATTGAATTGACTATCTTAATGTAATAAATTACGCATGCCTTTGCCTAAAAACTTTTTGTTGATCTACGAAGAAAAAGTTTTTGTTTTGTTTTTTTTTTTTTGTGAAGAAGAAGAAGTTGAAAAATTGATTAGGAAATGCCCATATATAAAAGAGATAACCGCATGATATTGAAAAATTTAGAGGCAAAAGGGAAAAAATGGACGGAGAATGGGGCGGGAAATTTTTGGCTTGTGAAGGTAGTTCTTTTGAATCTTTAACAAATAATAATAAATGTATAACATTACTTGTATCCCATTATGACATCTCGTATCTTATATCTCTTTTCTTTACTTAACATCGTAATCTATATCTATATCTATATTATATATCTCTATATATATTAAATGAAAATTTTCAATCGAACACATGACGCAAAATAAGATAGGTTAATCCACATGGCAAAAAATTAGATAGTCAAGTCCATATGTCCCAACCACATCACCCCATCAGTTAATGGTAATTTTTTAATTTGTAAATACGTAAAATCTATAAATAACAAATTTATAAAATAAGTAAAATAACTTCTTCTTACCTTAAGTAACCTAATCTCAAATGACCTTCATGGATTTTTATTTTTATTTTTTAAAAACTACCATATCAATTAATTTATTAATTTTTCAAACATCATTAATGATTGTTAGAACCATAATGGCACCCATAATGGTAAAAACATATTCAACAAATTACTTTCTAATAGTTTTAATGATATTCGTTTTAACAATTAACTTTAGTATTTTTTATTTTATCAAATTTGATTTTTTTTTTGCGTCACAAATTAATATATTATTTATTCTTATGATTTTTTTTCTTTTTTTTATTATTTATTCTTATTGTTTTAGTAGAAATGAATAAAGGTCTTTGTGAGAAACAAATACTAGAAAAAAGTATATTGAGATATTAAAAATAATTATATAAAAGAAAAAATTATGTAGAGAATAAGAAACCTAGAGATAGCTTTTTGGCGGATACTCTCTTAGAGTTTCAATACGCGATATTGAGATTTTATTTGTCCTTAATTTTTGTTAATGTACCCTGAAAAGAAGAAATTGCATCTTGATAATAGAGCGTAATGGAAGGGATTCTTAATTTTCTTCTTTAAGTGTGTTGAAATGTTATACCTTTTCAATTTAAGAAAATAATAAGATGCATATATTCGGTTCCCCCGAATAAAAATTGTTTTAACATAGTTAAGAAAATAATACTCCATATTAGTGCGAAATGGTTTCTTTTTACCTTTTTTTTTGCATATACATCATGAAATTTAAGTGTGGTGTGCGATTTTCACCGATGGATCTTCTAAACTTGGTGAAGATTGGTAATCTGCAGGAAAATATAAAAATTCAATTAGATGACTCATTATATTTTTTTATATGATATAATGCTAGTAAAAGTTAACTTTTTGATGATAAAAAAAAAAATATAGATCAATAGAGAAAAAGTTATCTAAAATGAGGAAAAAAAAAAAAAAGTCTTTGTGAGAGAGAGGTGGTAGAAGAAAAGCATATTGAGAAATTGAAAATAATCACATGGAGAAAAAAAAATTATGTAGAGAATAAGAAAATATGAAATGAAACTTTTAAATTATAGTGAAAATTATAAATAATTATTGAAAATTTTTAAGAAATGAAAATTTAAAAAGAGGTGATAAATAATGCTTCGAACCATACCAATCCACTATTGTAATCCTATCAATAGACGTGGGTGATTTTGTATGGTATACATTGCCACTAAAGGGAAATATTTATATTATGGAACAATATAAATCACTATCTTCATTGTTTCAACCCTAAAAAAAATAGACGATTAAGAAAAACCACGAAAATCCAAAAATCAAAGATCTTCAGATAATCAGGAACAAAAAACTTAACCATCAACTTATTAATGAAAGAAAAAGAAAAATAAAGCAAAATAAAGAATTGGATTGCCTCCCAATAAACACTTCTTTAAAGTCATGAGCCGGACTTTATGGCTAATCAATCAGGTGGACGCTCAATCAAAGAGTGTGAAACTCTATCATACATCATTCTTCTTCCATTCCTATCTGTGCCTACATTACTGATACATATGTCAAGAGGATCTTTAGAATTAGCAGTGAAAACATCAGTTTTATCTAGCTCCTCAAGGATATCTACCCTAAACACATGATGAGTAAATCCAGGACATTTGTAATTTTCAGAAAAAGTGAATTCCACAGATTCTTCTCCAATATAAAATTTTAACTCCCTTTTTTAACATCTATAACAGCACCAGCTGTGGCTAGAAATGGTCGACCTAAAATAATTGGCACATTAGCATCTTCTTCCATATCTAACACAACAAAATCAACACGGATATAAAATTTCTTCACTTTTACCAGAACATTTTCCAAAATCCCTTTCGGGTGAGTTACGGACCTATCAGCTAATTGCAAAGTGGTGTTAGTTGGTTTCAAATGTTTCAACCCAAGCTTTCTACAAACAGATAAATGCATCAATGAAACACTAGCACCTAAATCACATAAAGCTTTATCAAAACAAACATCACCCATAGAGATAGGAATAGCGAAACTCCCTGGATCACTCAATTTTGGAGGCAACTTTCTCTGAATAATAGCACTACACTCCTCAGATAATGCAATTGTCTCAAAGTCTTCCACTTTCCTTCGGTTGGAGATGATCTCCTTCAAGAACTTACTATAAGCAGGAATCTGAGCTAAAGCATCTGCAAAAGGAAAGTTAATATGCAATTGCCTAAGAATTTTCAGAAATTTCTCAAACAACCTATCTTGCTTGGTCATATGGAGTCTCTGTGGAAAAGGCACTGGTGGAACATAAGGTTTAAGCGGTGGTGGCACATATATCTTTTCTTCTTCATGTTCCACTTTCTTCACTTTCTCTTCATCACTCTCTTTACTCTCTTCTTTCTTCTCATTAGTGGTCACATTCATTTCAATGGTCTTTGGTTCCTCCTTGTCACCCAACTGCTTCCCACTTCTCAACATGATAGCACTACAATTTTCACGAGAGTTGATTTCAGACTTGCTTGGTAGTTGACCTTGCCCACGAGTATTCATGGCGGAGGCCATTTGACTCACTTGGTTCTATGAGCAGTATTCAATTGATCTAACCTTTCTTCTATTCTATTAGACCGTTCATTGTTTTCACTCAATAATTTCTCCATTCTCTCCAAACTTGCCTCCGTTGCAGTCTTAGGTGCAGATTGGTATGACTTTGCTTGGAAATCTGGAGGGTTTTGAGGTCTTGCATTAAAGTCTTGAGCCCCTTGATTTTTCCAAGAAACGTTTGGATGATTTCGCCACCCAGGATTGTATGTGTTGGAGTATGGATTGTTCTGTTGCTAAGGCTTGCTGAAATTAGAGACATATTGTGCACTTGCCACTTGTATACATTCAGAGCTCAAATGAGGATCTCCACAGAACTCACAGACAGTAATATGGAAGACTGCATTAGCATTTACAAGATTACCCATCGCCTTAGTCAGTGCATCTATCTTTGCGTTCATGGCACTTAGTTCATTGACTTTATTTATTCCAGCAGGCTTCTTGGAAACACTTCTCGAGTTCGACCATTGATTCCTATTCTTTTCCATAGTTTGAAACAATTCATAGGCATCATCAATTGACTTATCCGTTAATGAACCTCCAGCTGCAGCATCCACATTGTTTCTTGCAAAGTCTGTCAATCATTGATAGAAAGTCTGAACTAGAGTACTTTTCTCAATACCATGGTGAGGATATCTTCTTTGCAATTCCTTGAATCTTGTCCATGCAGCATGAAATGTCTCATCATCTTCTTGAATAAACCAAGTAATTTGATTTCTCAATTTTGCTGCCTTATCTGGTGGGAAGAAATTGATCAGGAATTCCTTGTAAAGCTCATCCCATGTTGTGATGGAACCAGGATCGCAAGTATTCAACCAATTCTTTGCTTCTCCCCTCAATGAAAAAGGGAAAAGTCTCAGTCGGATTGCATCTGTTGTCACACCATTATCTTAACAGTATCACAGATCTCTAAAAAATGGTCAATATGCGCATTTGGATCCTCACTGTTAAAACCAGAGAATTGATTCTACTGCATCATCTGGATCAATGCTGGCTTGAGCTCAAAGGTATTCGCAGCAATGGTAGGCCTAGTAATACTTGACCTAGCAACATTCTCCGTAGGTGTGAAGTAATCCCTCAGTGTCCGAATTATATCACCCATGGTTTCACTCTGATTCTTCTCCTTTCTTAGCCTTGCTTTTTTTTTGTTTGCACGAGCTGTTCTTTCTATCTCTGGATCAAATTGCAAAGTCTCAG